CTCTAATAATCTAGTTTTCAATTTAATTACTAGGCTTTTGACTATATTTCTCCCAGCTACTTTGGCTAGAGTTAATATTCCTTACAGAACAACATCACAAAACCATTAGTAAATGGGAAATATCACATAAAAAACATATATGTTACAATAAACACATAATCATGGTTAATAAAATTGGGGGGAAAAATAACACCAACATAAAAGTTCAGTGGCCTTCGTCTAAAGCACCAAAACTCACCTGGAATTCGGTGATAGTTCCAAGAGTTGACAAAGTTCTCTGAACCCACTTTACTGACATGTAGAGTTACCCAAGAAACTGCAAAACTAACAAGGGGGTCTTCCATATTGAATATCTCCTGCTCTTTAATGAAGTTAAGTGCCCTTTTAAGAGGATAGTTAACTCGAGCATTTTCCTCTGGCCATAGCCTCTCTGCCCTGTAATTCTTAGTAGATGTGGTTTGTCTCCAAGGGGCTCTGCTGGTATCACCACGTCTATTTTTAAGTAATTCCTGTACAAAGATGCAAAGGCAAAATTCTGTTCCATGATCAACACGTAACTGATCAAATAACCCATATTGAAGTAGTAAGGGCCTGTGTAAACAGAAAAAAATAGAACAATGTGGAACAATGAAAGAGGACTTTATAAAAAGCAAAAATATTCATATTAATTAAATACTTGATATTATAGGACTCGGAAGATAGACTGCACCTTTAATCATTTTTGCTTGCCCAGGCTAGTTGCATACTTTTACTTTTTGTCATTAAGTTACAAGAGGACTTGCCTATTGGTTAAGTAAGCATGAAAAGCAACTTGCCCAGCAAGAAAATCTACTTAATGGCTTTGGGGATTTTTTGGAAATCTCACAAAAGAGAGTTTGGTTATCTCTTTTTTAAAAAACAGCAAGCACACAATAATGCAAATGAGAAATTGTCATTTTATTATAGGCTCAGTGAGTGTCAAACTTAGAAAATTGTGAATACCAGAAATATTTCAGAGATATTGACTGTCTAGAGACCAATCACCTTGGAGACCAGGACCCTCGGGTAGTCCTCAAAACTTACAACTACCTAACATTGCTGTTTGTGTTTAAATTGGTTTACCTTTCTCAGTCTTTTAAGCAAAACCATTTTATTTTTGTTTATCAAGGACGGTTTTCTCAGCGCTGAATATTCTTTTCGCTTCTTCTCGCTTGGAAAACCCTTTGCCAATTTAATTTTTCCCTTATTAATCCTTCCATTGTCTAAGGGATTAGTGGGACATCTTGTTTGACGTCAGTGACTATAACACAACATTTTTGCCTGCACGTACTTTCAACTGCTCCTTGACGTTTCTTTTAAGCAAAACCATTTTATTTTTGTTTATCAAGGACGGTTTTCTCAGCGCTGAATATTCTTTTCGCTTCTTTTCGCTTGGAAAACCCTTTGCTAATTTAATTTTTCCCTTATTAATCCTTCCATCGTGTAAGGGATTAGTGGGACATCTTGTTTGACGTCAGTGACTATTACACAACATTTTTGCCTGCACGTACTTTCAACTGCTCCTTGACGTTTCTTTTAAGCAAAACCAATTTATTTTTGTTTATCAAGGACCGTTTTGTCAGCGCTGAATATTCTTTTCGCTTGGAAAACCCTTTGCCAATTTAATTTTTCCCTTATTAATCCTTCTATTGTCTGAGGGATTAGTCGGCCATCTTGTTTGACGTCAGTGACTACTGCACAACCTTTTTGCCTGCACGCAAACAATTTCAACATGCAAGTTTAAATAAACGAAGAGACATATAATCGTTTTTTTTATTTTAAACCAAATGTTCCAACAGTGGATGTTTTCTTCACTTCTAATTGTCAGCAAGAAAGGAAACACACACGGCTCTTTGAGACTTAACGTCATGACTAACTCCCTTGACTGGCTTTTCTTTGACCTATTTGACTTTAGATCCTTGAATCTTTCACCTGCAAAGCGAACGCTCTCCTATTTAGCTAAAAACCCTTCGACAACTTCATACAAATGATTTGCTATAATTATTTCCCCTTTTCCGCAACGTTTTAGAACGTTTTTTCTTCAAATTCATGACTGTGCATGCGTTCTGTCTTGCGCATGCGCACTGCGCAGGGGGCACTTATTCTGTCCCACATGTCTGCCTTGACCGAACCGATTACACATATAAGTTCGCTTTTTACTATAATATAATAACTTCTCATGTGTCTCTCCTTCTTACTTCATGACATCATCCCTCATTAGCATACTTCCGACCTCTTCCGAAGGCTTCCGACGATACCCGAGCCTCGTTCTAAGATATTTCCGATTTCCAAACAATGCCACCTCATTAACTTTCGGAAAACCC